GTAGGAGAGCTGTTCTTGTTCTCTTGCTACTTGTGTCATTTTTCAGGGTTGAAAAATTAGAAATGTCTGGTGAGGGACTCTTTATACAGTTTTTCCTAGAACTCTTTATACAGTTTTTCCTATAAACCCCGTGTAATATGAGAACCGGCTCATCTTATTTTATTCCTCTCGACCCCCTTCTTTCTCTGCCAGACCAGCTGCCTAGCTGCCTGTCACCTGGTCACCTCCATAAAACAGGGTCAGTGAATGGACTGAGAGCAGAGAAAGTAGATTAGACATTCGAATGTGTGGAAATAGTATGCCACTAATACCCTGCTCTACAAATAAAAAAGTGTTATTATTACTTACCCCTTAGAGGCTTTTCAAGAGATCATGAAGAAACACCCACTAGGATTCCAACTGAACAATGTCTTAAGATGCCCAGAAGGCAGTGGGCCTTTTAGAAACCCACGCCGGGCTTCCCTCTTCACCGGGTTGAAGGCATTTTTCTGGATTTACTTATTTGAATCTCTTAAGTGCTTGGCTTCGTGGCAAAGTCAGACTAAAGGGAATTAGGATGAAATGGAAAGAATCCAGATCAATTTCATTTGTGTGGTTCTTGGAATGCACATACCTGTATGTGTATTTGGGTGTCCATGGATGTGCATGTCTGACTATAACAGGTAGCAGATAAAGTTTAAACATAAAGTTAAGCTTCAGCAATAAGGTGAATGAGGATTCAGATGTCTTGTACTGCTTTTGATGAGAACTACTGCAGGGTATTTTGTGTTCAATTCATGCAACCAAAGAGAGTATTCTCTCTCTGAATATAAAAAGATGGCTTTATTGAAGTTGACCGAGCCCACAGTAGGTACATACTTTAAAATCCGGTTTTATGATCATGTTTCACTGGAGTGCTGTTTCCCAACCAAAGAATTTTGTTTTCTAACCGAACTGGGCTATACCAATTAAAATTGCAAAGGCTACAATGAATTGAACACGATTAATTTGACAACAGAAACAGAAAAGTTCTTTTTTGGGGGGAGGGGTGGCAGATGTATGCTATTTGGACTGGGAATAACTTCTACACATAGAATTTTAAGCATTTGAGATATTTTATTGTTCAGAGAAAAGTTGCTGATTTCATCACAACTGTAAGTCTAGCAAAAATGGAGCCTGGAAGAGTAAACTGGTTCAGAGCTGAGGCAGAGACTGGTAACCTCTGACCTCTGCCTTTTACTGGAAAACGATATGCAGCATAAATCCACGGGGCCTACTTCCTTTCAAGTGTGCGTATGTATATGTTATGGTGTTGCTGTTCACAGCACTATAGCTAAGATGAGGTCAGCATTTCCATATGAAGCCCTACTTTCAGAATTCAGCTTGCACCAGGAGTTTTCAGAAGGGTGTAAATGGACTCTCAATTCTTCTTCCTGTACTCCAGAGTTACTACATGGGGTCGTAGCCTAGTGTTTTGTTTGTTTGTTTTTCTTTTTCACGTCTTGCTTTTTAAGACGACCGTCAGGAGGGTAGTTTGGCTGCTACTTTGAAGGCTTGTAAACTGCTGAAATGCATTTGTTTAAAATGGAAACATGAGTTTTCTTAAACATCATCGGATAAAAGGACTTTCAGAGGGCAAATGCCCCACCCCAGTTCTTCCCCTCTGACCTGTCGGAACAAGGAATCAGGAATTTCTCAGGTTCCTTTCTCCTTCAACACGTGTTCTCTAAAGGCCAATTTAATAGTGCATGTGACCGTAAGCCGTATACCCTTCACACTACCAGAGTTTTCCACTTACATCGTTCCTCTTTCTGTTTTTTCATATAAGACCACCACCTCGTTTTTCTTTTTAAAGCATTTTCATATACATAGTCTCATTGGAATGACCTCAGTTGAACCTGCCCAAAACAGCTCTGGTGGCAGATAAAACAGGTCTAGCCCCATTTGACAGAGGAGGGACAGAAGCTGTGGATGAGCTGAGCGATTTGTTGAAGCCCTGGTGCAGCATCAGCCCTCATGAATGGGATTAGTGCCCTTATAAAAGAGGGCTCAGAGAGCTCCCTTTCCCCTTTCTCCATGTGGGGACACAATGAGAAGATGGGCCCTCCCCGCACTGCCCTCTCCTGGGCAGTGCGATTTATTCCCTGCTAAACGCAGAATGATGCCTGGAAGTGTTGCTGTAACAACTTCAGTGCATTTCCATGCCAACCACAACGCTTCTCAACTCTTTTTTTCATCCCTGGGACCTGTGGAGCTGGGTCTTTGTGCAGCCTTCGGATTAGCTGTGCGCAGTGGCTTTTCCGTGTTCTCCTGTCTGCCTTTTCTGGCAGGCAGGGATGTGTAAGCCGTGCCAGCATTTGGCCTGTAGTGCATGTCCTAAATAGTTATTTACACAGTTTGAGTCCATTTTAGTCAACTGGGTAAATAACAGCCCTCTTCAAAAGATTTATAAATCCATAAATATGTCTTTATACATACCCAATAGACAGAAATAATTCAATCTGTCAAGAACATATCCAAAGAGGTGTTTCCCTCACAGATGAGAGCAATACATATTGTAAAACTTTCTCTACTGTATTATTTGTACTGCATTTCTTTTTTCCTCATTCCTTTTCAATGTTTGCCACTTCATGATGGCACCCAGGGTACAAAAGAAAGAAATCCCTTAGGCTTTGGTCCTCTGTTAAATAACCTTGTCTGTGGTACAAGGTGGGCATGTAACAGGCTCTGTCCTGGTCTTTTGGACTTTCAAAGTAAAGCAAAAAAAATTGGTCATCCAGGAAATTTGTAATGTTCTGACAGATTTCAAACTTCAGTAACAGTTCCTAGTTAGAGTTCCAGCAATTTGGGGGATTTTTGAGCGTCTGACGATTTGCCAAATGAGTGGCTCTTGTGGTTGATAGAGTAGTTTGAGTCCACATTTTTACCTAAGCATAAAAAAGTAAAGTACAAAATCCAGCCCTGGGCATTCTGAAGAGAATATATGTGAAGTATGTAATCAGAAAATGTGAAAGATATTATTATTATTCAGGGATTTGATGTTTATTCATGATTTACATAATATATCTCTCCCCCAACTCAAATTATTTATCATGGCAACTCTTCTTATGGCATCTACATTCATTTCATATTAACACTTGTGGCCCCCTGCTTAATAGCAAAGCGCCTTTAAATGGACATTTAAAAGGAAGGCCTAACATCTGTGTTTGGTTGGGGATTCTGCTGCTGCGGCTGGGACATTGATTTTGTCTACTTTTTAACTTCCTCAAAGCACTTCCAAAGATATGAGATTGGATTCTTATTTTCTCACTGTCAATGATTTGCTATTTTCCCATTTCAGAAGGGAGAAAAGTAAAGCTCAGAAATATTGAAGTGAGTCACCATGAGAGTCACCTCCAGATCTTGGTCTCTTGCCTTTGTAACTACTTTAGGATGGGGTGTTTTCAGGACCCCCAAGCAGAGTCTCATAAGATGAGGTGCACATTGGCAGATACTGTTCTCTTTCATGTGTCTTTCTTATCCTACTGTGTGTGGCTGCCCTACTGACCATAATCAGGGTCTATTGTAGGAAGCGTGTAGTCTGGACAGGGAGAACACCAAGCAAATCTGGTGCCTTTCCCCACCGGATTGTACTCCTCCCAGGAGGGCTGCCGCAGACACTATATAACCCATAAGCAGCCTTAGCTGTGCTTGACCACATTTTGAGTTTGGGCACATCTCTGTTTTGGGTTGAAAGTCAAGAGAGACGAATACATGATAGTAATAAAATAATAAAATAACGTATTACGGACTGTCAGTCAGTGTAGGTATTTCATCCCTCACTTTGTAGAGGAGGTCACGGAGGTTCAGAGAGGCTGAGAGACTTACCCAAAGTCACATACTGGTTGGTGGTACAGTAGGGACTTGAACCCATACCGTCTGACTCCAAAGCCCAAGCTTCTATTTGATGTGATACTGGAGTGTGACTAAGAATGGGAAACAGGCCCCATTCGAGGCCTGTTCGAGAATGGGAAATGGCCTCATTCGAGGGCCATTCTTTCTGTTATCAGTTCAGGGACTCTTCCCCCAGTGTCTGCACTGGGCCTGGCACTCCGCTCTGTAACAGTGACAGAGCTGTGAATAAAACAGAATCAGCATTAGCCTCAAGGGGGTTCTACTCTGCCGGGGACTGAGAATCCGGTTTTGTGTGCTGAGTAGAATGATGATCGAGCTATTAACAGAGAAGCAGGATGATTGATATGATTAATTTGTATCATGTACTAAGAGCCTCTATACCATTTCACTCATTCTGAAATTTATTGAATTGAGAAGAGGAGCCTACCAAACAAGTAAAGACATTTCTCTTGCAGAACGTTTCCCACTTCAAGCTCATCTCGTTTTCCTCTTTTGTGAGGATAAAGAAAGTCTTATTTCTACATAGAAATTTGACGTGAAACATTTCAGCCCTAAAGGACTTGACTTGGTCTCTAGAACTCCTAAAATGCACTTATGAACTTCTTTGGGGGCCAGGACTCAGATCAACAATAGTATCTTTGCTCCCACTAAAAAAAAAAAAAAAAAAAAAAGGAAAACCAGCATGTTTCTGTAAAGAGGAACAATTGAAAAGCATTGCTATTTCTTTATAATAAAATGTATCAGTAGCGGCCAGTGCCTCCCACTGTCCCCTCCCCTCCACGCCAGCTTTTGTAGGAGGTCAGGCAACCTATAGGCAGAAGGCAATTCCATTTATTATTGAAGGGAATCTCGAGGCAGTCGTTTCAGACCTGTGAAGCCAGCAGGCAGAGCTGGGTGAGAGGGAGCGGGGGTGTGAGGCAGGGAGAGGGTTGTAGGAAAGGGCCGCATTTTGTTCCAGATGACTAAGCAACGATTTATATACCCGCTCGTCTTTTTACATGAAGAAGAAAAGTAATAACAGCCCAAACCCAGGCATTTGAAACAGTCAGCTGTCTGATGAATAATGGGATAGGTGGGAAGGAGCTCTCTGATTGGATGTCTTAATGAGCAATTTCGCACAGAGTTTG